CTTGCTATGTTTGGGTTGCATTGAATTTATAAACACATTTAGAGAGATAATTGAGATCTTAATAATGTAACATCATCTTATCCATAAACATTATATATACCTCTATTTGGGTTTCCTTTGAATTCCTTTAATAGAGTTAAATATGTTAATTCCTGGATACTTTATAATTTTGTTGTTTTTATAAATAGTATCTTATTTTCTAGTTTGTTAGTGTGAATGTGAATCAATACTTTTGGTTTCCATGAATTGCTTTTCTTTTTCTTTTTTCGAGAGCAAGTCACTCTGTTGCCCAGGCTAAAATGCAGTGGTGTGATACTGGCTCATACCTCAGCCTCCTGAGTAGCTGAGACTCAGGCATGCAAAACTACACCTGGCTAATTTTTATATTTTTAGTAGAGATGGGGTTTTTATCACGTTGGCCAGGATGGTCTCTAACTCCTGACCTCAGGTGATCCACCTGCCTTAGCCTCCCAAAGTGCTGGGATTACAGGCATGAGCCATCATGCAGGGGCATGAATTGATTTTCTATTTGGGATTCTTGCTGTATCAGTTGGGATTAGATTTGACTACAAGTAATGCAAATACACAAACACAAACTAAAATAACAGTGTCATGATGAGACAAAAATTCAAGAAAAATTTCAAGAATTTCAAGAAGATTGGTGGGTAGATACTTGAGGGCTGGTACTGCTAAAGGAGGTGTCTTCTGTCTTGTTGTTCTGCTATGTGTGGCTTCCTTATCCAAGGTCAGCTCATGGTCTAAGATGACTGCTAAAGCTCCAGCCATTAGATCTGCATTCCAGATGACAGGAAAGAGGATGAAGGCACACTTTCTCCCTATAAGGATGTATGAACTACTTCTGCTTGCAACCCATTGCCTGAGACATGACAATACTTAGCTGCAAGGAAGGCTGGCAAATGTTGTTTTTAATCTGGTTGGCCCTGTGCCTTGCTAAAAATCCTAGTATTATGGAAGAGAGGGAGTACAACATCTCTGTTACCTTGCTGAATGCTTATTTCCTAAAAGCTTGCTGTTTCTATTGGATGCTTTATGTGGTTGATCATATTACTGCAAACAACCCTAATTTTGTTTCCTTCCTTCTAATTCTTACGTTTAATTTTCTCCTCTTTTAAAAACTATTCTGGCCGGGTGTGGTGGCTCATGCCTGTAATCCCAGCATTTTGGGAGGCCAAGGCAGGTGGATCACAAGGTCAGGAGTTCCAGATCAGCCTAACCAAAATGGTGAGACCCTGTCTCTACTAAAAATACAAAAATTAGCTCGGCGTGGTGGTGCGTGTCTGTAATCCCAGCTGCTCAGGAGGCTGAGGCAGGAGAATCGCTTGAGCCCGGGAGGCAGAGGTTGCAGTGAGTCAAGATCGTGCCACTGCACTCCAGAACTCCAGCCTGGGTGACAGAGTGAGACTCCATCTCAAAAAACAAACAAACAACAACAAAAATGATTTTGTTAGCCTGGACTTTCAGTGTCATATTAAATAGTAGAGGCAACATTATCTTGATCCCACACTCATGTGGTATGTGTTTAAAGTTAATCCATTAAGTAATGTACTTGCTGTACGTTTTGGTCCTTTATAAAGTTAATTTCCTTCTATTCCTAATCTTATAAAAGTTTTTATAATTAATAAGTGATATACTCTCTCAGATGCTTTCTCTTAGTCTTTTGAGATGGATTATATTGATAGGTTTTCTGATGTTAAATCATACTTGAATTTCTGGCATAAACATTACCTGATTTATTATGTTTTCATGATAGATGACTAGATAGATGGCCAGATAAATGCATTCTAAAGACAGGGAAATATGTTTTAAGGTTTATCCTAGTTCACTGTAGTAAGCATGTTGGATTTAGTTTACTAATATTTTATCTATAATTTTTGCATCTGTGTTCATACGTGAAATGGTCCTCTTCTTTTCCTGATCGGTTTTGTTTTTCAGATTTAGAATCTAATTTGGCTGTGTAGGTTTAAAAAGAAATTTTTTTCCTCTACTTTGTCTTGCTCACAATGGCCTTTTACTTCACTTATTTTGTAATTTGGATTGTGAGCGCATGTTTGCATAGGCTTTATATGTAGAAATTCTATGAGGTCTGGGTGGAATCCTTTATCCTTGATAAAGGATTTGCTTTTGCTTCCTGGTCTGTGTGGGTAGTATATGTTCTCTGTTTATAAGGAGCTTAATTCTAATTGAGAAGATCAGCTACAATCATATAAATATATAAATAAAAATAAAAAGGAAATCTTTTATCACATACTGCTTGCTTTTTTTCAGATTTTAAAAAAGACATCTAACTCATAATCATAACAGATTAGAAAGTAGAGATAAGCAAGAGGAAAACTAGACAGAAATTAACCAAATTCTGCTGCTTAACTCTGACAAACACACTTAAGGTCTCCCTACATATTTTCCCAGGTTCCTATTTCAATGTTGCAAGTGTATACTTTTGAGCCTCTCAGATAGATGGTAAGCCATTTGAGACACCAAAAATCTCATATAGTACTTATCTTTTCAATAACCATCACAGCCTTAGTACATCACTAGTACAGTACCAGTACATCATGACTACATTGCTAGTACACTACCAGCACATCACTAGTACATCTCACTGTTTGGAAGAAAAATGACAGTAACACTATAATTGTGAAATTTGCGTTTTGAAATGTTCCCACATAGAAAAAATTCTGTCTCTGTGTATGTTGAGATCATAAACTAGTAAACTTCTCACATATTACGATTCATATATCACATCAATTACAATGATTTTTTTAAAGGTATATGATTTTTATTTGACTTGCCCATACTTCTCAGTGCTGTAGCTATGAGGTATGCCCACGTCATTTATGGAAGACTATTGGCCAGCTTCATCCTCTTTTTTGGGGATCACCCCTTCCACCCAAGACCTGTGTACAAGCAGTGTAGAAGGGGAAGTGATCACAAAAATGAGAAATAGAAAATATATGGGAGAAAGGAAATAGATACATGTAAGAAAGGAAGAGGAGGAAAGGCAGAAATAAACAGGGGTTCTCAAATTTTCAAAAAGAAGTAATAAACAAGTGTTCTCAAATCAAATATATTTATTTTAGTATTTTAATATTTATTCAAGTCACCTGGGATATTTGTTTAATAAGCAGATGTCCAGGTAGAGCCTACAGAGATGATAACTCGATAGGTCTCAGCAGACTCAGGAATTTGGGTGGACCTTCCCTTTAAGAAACACTGGAATAGGGAGATCACAGAAGTAGAAGGCACATGGTAGGGCCTGGAGGCATGCCAGTAACAACTGAGAAAGGTGCAACTTCTGCCACAAGATGCTAACCCTAGGTATTTGCAGATCCTCTGAAAGATACTAGGGTAAGTCTACTCCACTACATACTACATACTACATTCTAGTGTATGAGGAAGATTCAAAATCTTCTTCAGGGTTATTCATATGTAAAATAATACTCTGATCAATTACCTCACAGTGGAGGAAATAAGAAAGGGGCTTCTAAAATGTATCATTAGCACATTCGTTTTTCTTTTTTTTCTTTTTTTAAAGATGGAGTCTCCCTCTGCCACCCAGGCTGGAATGTAGTGGCGCAATCTTGGCTCACTGCAACCTCTGCCTCCTGGTACAAGTGATTCTCCTGCCTTAGCCTCCCTGAGTAGCTGGTAATACAGGTTCGTGCCACCACGCCCAGCTAATTTTTTTTTTTGAGACGGAGTCTTGTTCTGTCACCAGGCTGGAGTGCAGTGGCACCATCTAAGCCCACTGCTGCCTCTGCCTTCCGGGTTCAAGTGATTCTTCTGCCTCAGCCTCCCAAGTAGCTGGGACTACAGGCCCACCATGCCCAGCTAATTTTTGTATTTTTAGTGGAGACAAGGTTTCACCAAGTGGACAAGGTTGGTCTCGAACTCTTGACCTCAGATGATCCACCCACCTTGGCCTCTCAAAGTGCTGGGATTACAGGCGTGAGCCACTATGCCTGGCAGTTCTTAAATGCAGTTCAATAACCCACTTTGGAAAAGAAGTGAATTTTTCCCACACAAGGGATATAATTTGTTTCTCTTATCACAAGGTGATCTGGCTAAGGGAACACTGTCCACTTTCTGCAAATCATGTCTTGGGGTGAGGACACCCACCTCCCTGCACTGTGGATTTCCAAAGGAGTTTCAGCATACTGAGAGGCAACACATACACAAGCTGTGTACTGCATGCAGTTTTTTACAGCTCATTTTCTAAGTGGACTCAGGACTACTGAAAGAAATCATGGAGTAGGGCTAAAATCAGAAAGGAAAGAGATGAGAAGGCTGTATGTCTTAACAGGCACAGGGGAAGGATCTGTAACCTAAAATGACAATAATCAAGGAAGACCCCAGTATGACCAAAGTAAACCTTTGTGTTCACTTAGTATCTCTCTTCTGAATTCCAGACTACTGAGGGTTCAATTTCATATATATATTTGAAATGTATATCAAATATACATATAGATTTCAAATATACACCCACACATATGTAAAGATCTCGCTCACTTCAAGACTCCAAACCTAAATTAATCTTAGGTTTCTCCAGATGACTCCTTGGAGGAAAGTGGATGTCTGGTATTCTAAGTTAATTTGAATAAAGATACAACGTCTACTTTGCCTTTCCTTAGTTTCTTCACAGTAAACAATTGTCTTTAAGTCTCAAGTAACGTGCAGAAATGCACCTGTGGGGAAGAAGGTGGGTTCTTGCCAGTGTATTTGCTTTAGCGAACATCTCCATTCAGGTTTACTGGTGGTTACAGTTACAGTACTTTCAAGTACAAGGGTGTGGAAAGAGTTAAATTCTGTAAAATGACTGCTGGACAATAGCCAAGAAACTGAGAAAAGCCACAGATCCTGGGAATCAGCAGGGAGGAGAAGATCTAGTAGTGGGTGCTCCGGAGCACCGTCGTCAGGGTTCAAGGTGAGCAAGTGGGAGCAAGAGCGAGCGTTGAGGGAGGGAGGGAGGGCTGGAGGAAGCTACGGTATCTACAGCATTTACAGCTACGCTCATACCAGGTTAAGAAGAAACTCAGTAAAGAAACGGGACGTATTTTGGAGCTGTTTCGACCTGCCCACACCCTACCCTGACTTTCCCAGAAAACAGGCGAGCAAGCAAGGGGCAAATGCGACGGCCAAGCCTCCCGCCTACGGCTTCCAGCCTCCTCAGATCCCGGCGCACAGCCCCGCCGGACTTCCCCCGGAGCCGCCTCCAAGAGCGGGCACTGCGTGATCTGATTCACTCCAAATCCGGCTGTCCCCCAGGGGTGGAGTTTGACCGCTGGGGCTCCCCGGCAGCGCTAGGCAGAGGCGTTGCAGCAGCAGCAGCCGCCTGCACGCTGAGTAAGGAGCCAGCCTCCGCCGCCGCCTCCTCCTGCCGGCTCGGAGTAGGCAGCACAGCCAGGGCCTATCGCTGCCATGCAGCCAGCAGTGGGCCGCCGCTCCCCCCGCGCGGCCCCGGCCCTCACACTGTTATTTGCGTGACTGACCCGAGCCGCGCGGGAGGGGAAGGCGGGCCCGGCGAGGCGCTGGCGGGGAGGGGGAGGCCGGGCCCGCCCGCTCCTTCTACTCTGGCCGGCTGCGGAAGCTCTCTCTTCCCCATTGGCCATACGCTCGCGTCCATCACTCCCGCGAGACGCTTCGATTGGCAGAAGGCGCACTTCTGGCGAAGACGGCCGAGTGACTCCGCGGCTCTCCGGCGCCTCCTCCTTCCCTCCACCCCCCACTTTAACGTCCACCCACCTCTCCCCACCCCCTACTCCGCTGCCCCCGCCCCGCTCGCGGCAGTGTCCTTAGAAGACTCATTGGGCCAGGGGCGCAGCCAGCCGCTTAACGAGCCGCGCCGCCATAGGTCGAGGTCCACGCCCGTCGGAACGGCGGGCCTCACCATTGGGTCGCTCCGCTCCGCTCCTGCCCCTTCAGTGCCGCACCCTCCCGTCGCCGCCTCCCTGCCCGGCTCTCTCTCTGCCCTCTTACCCCGCCCGTCCCCGCCGCATCTCCCCAGTCCAGCTGGGCGGGGACTGCTGTACGACTCTGTAAAGTCTGTGAGTCACTGCACAACCCATCAATCCAATTAAATGTCTTGAGCGAGCCAAGCAGGCGTTGCTGCCGCCCGCCGCTGCTCGCCCCGCAGCGGCCGCCCCTGCTCCGGCTTGCAGCGCCCCTCTGATCCATGGCTGTCTGTCCGTACTTGTTACGGTGTAACATCCTCCTCCTTCTCCACCTCCTCCTCCTCCTCGGGAGCCGCTGCAACTTCCCCTCAGCCAGCCTCCTCTTCTGCTTGGGGACTGCAAAGGCATGGGATAGACCCAGAGCCACTTCCCTCTGTCTCCCCTCCAGCCCTCGCTCAATTATCCTCCCTTTAAATTAAAGTCTGACCCTCGCTCCTCGACGTTTTAGAGATTTATTGGTCGGTCTATTATTTCCCCTGATATTATTCTCTCTCCCTGGGGCAGGGCTCGTAGGGGCCCGTGGGTTTATTTTAGGGAAGGGACGCTCCATCACCTCACTCCTCCGTTTCTCCTCCTCCCTTTTCGGCTGTGACTTGATTTCCCCGCTCCTCTGCGCTCCCACCCCTTGAACTCACAGTCCTGCACTCAAGTGACTCACAGACACCCCCCCGCCCACAGCCCAGACGTCCCCTCCCTCGCTGCCATCCCGACCCGTCTCGGAGCTGGACCGGGTGCCGACTTCGCGGAAGGGTGAGTGCTGTGCTGGATTGGGTGGGGAGGATCTGGAAAAATGTGGTGACCGGTCCACTGCTGGGGAGGGCAGGGATCAGGCTGTGGGCTGGAGGTTCCCAGTCCGGCGTGGATTTAAGGTGGCGACTCCCTCCTCTTCTCCCTCCCTCGATCCCGCTTCCCCCGCCCCTCAACTCCTTATTCACCAGCCTCGCTGTATTTCTAGTTATTGCCAGACTTCCACCATCGGGGCATTATAAAGCTTATAAAACATTTGGTAATGGCATGCTTTCTGTCTTTAGGATGATAGACTCTATCACCTGCAAAAAGCGTAAAAGGGGCGATGGGTGTATTTTCTTCTAATTTAAAGTTAAACTTTTATTCAATAAAGGCAAAACAAAAGGTATTTTTAATTCGAATGCGTGGCAATAGAGCAGCGATAGAGAGGGAAAGACAGATATTGTCTAATGGCATTGCTTAGTGTTTTCATTTGAAAATAGTTTTATGGGTTCCCTATTGAAAAAATATCAAGTCTGTATCAAAGGTTATGAAGTCTTTGAACCTGTTGGAGGAAAGCGAGGTTAGATGGAAATCCAGCTTGACACTTCACCTTCAGCTCTTCTCTGTTCCAGGGAGGCATTACAACACAGAGTTTTAAATTTCTCAGTCACTGGACAAAGTGGAGTATGTGAAGGATATGAAGAAATATGGATTATTTCTCTTTTGATATCCATCTTTTGTGTACTTGATTGCTTGTTCAGCAGTGTCATACTACAGAATTTTGTAAAATTTTAATTTGGTTTCTTGGTTGTCCATAGTTCAGAAGTACAAATACCTGTCCATATATGCTTTATGAGGATGTTGCCGTATGCATCTTTTTTTTGAAATAAAAGTAAAAATTATGAGAAATGGTTGCTGAGAATTGGCTTCTGAGGTTGCTTTTTAGAATTCAGCTGTTTTAAAATGGTATCACTCTTTTTGAATGAAGTTCTGGGCTAGTTGTCCACAAGATTCAAATTAGGCCAAACCAAACATGTTTTGAAATATTAAAGTACGGGAAAGGCCTCTTAGTAGTTCATTCTCTCCTTCTCTTTCAGAGTAACCAGAATAAGTTGTTACTAAATTTAATTTTAAAGAATAGACTGTTCCTGTACTGAAATCTGCGAAGTTGCTACAGAAACATTTCTTTTTAAAGAGCAGAAATGTGTTTATGATCAGCCCAAAGTAGTAAAGTCGAAAAGTGACTTAAATGTAAATGCTGTCTTAAAGAAATGCTTGTCATAAGCCCCAAAACCTTCCAGAGTGTTTCAGGAAGACTTATACAAAGCCTTTTTGAATTGTTTAATAAATTTTATCATGTGACCTTTTTTATAAGATCGAATTATTGAAAGATCTCATAGTACAAGGGAGTCATCCTGCCAGAGTTTGAATCTTACCACCATCCCTCACTGGCTGTGTGACCTTGGGGACATTTCTAATCTGGCCTTTGTGGGTTTTGTCCTGTGGATGGAAAGGATGACTTCTCAAGGGGTTGTTATAAGGTTGCAAGAGAGTACATGTCACCGTGCACTCCATGTTAGCTGCCCCATCATCACCAGTAGTCTCAGAGAGGTATCTAGTGTAGTCGTTAAGAGTAGGACCTCATGCTGGCTCGTGCTTAAAATCCCAGCACTTTGGGAGGCTGAGGTGGGAGAATGGCTTGAGCTCAGGAGTTTGAGACCAACTGGGTCAAGATGGTAAGATCCAGTCTCTACAAAATCGTTTTAAAAACAAAAAAAGTGGGGCCTCCAGAAGCAGATTTTGTAAGTTTAAGTACTAGCTTTTCCTCATTAAAAGTACTAGGCCAAGTCAGCCTAGATTCCTCATCTGTAAAATGGGAATAATAGCACCTACTTCATAGGATTATTGTGATTGCACAGAATGAGTTAATGTATGCAAAGATCTTGAGTAGTCTTTGGTGCATCTTTGCAAGTTTAACTCTTATGTGCCTTGTATATTTTGAAATATGAATGACTATTTTTTTAAAGATTTTTTTGTAAAGATAAAAATTATTGTTACTAAAATAAGCATAATTTTTATCAGTATGCCTGATGTTTTATGGGATTTATACTTTTATTCTAGAGTTTGTATGACCCTCTAAGAAATACAGCTACTGGGCCAGGCACAGTGGCTCATTCCTCCTCTAATCCCAGGATTTAGGGAGGCTGAGATGGGAGTATTGTTTGAGCCCAGGAATTTGAGACCAGCCTGGGCAACACAGCGAAACCCCATCTCTACAAAAGATACAAAAATTAGCTAGATGTGGTGGCAAATGATTGTAATCCCAGCTATTGAGCACTGGAGGTGGAGGCCGCGATGAGCCGTGATTACGCCACTGCATGCACTCCAGTTGGGTGACAAGACCTGTTTTTTTTTTCTTGAGACGGTCTCACTCTGTCACCCAGGCTGGAGTGCAGTGGCACAATCTCGGCTCACTGCAACCTCCGCCTCCAGAATTCAAGTGATTCTCCTGCCTCAGCCTCCCTAGTAGCTGGGATTACAGGCGTATGCAACCATGCCCAGCTGATTTTTGTGTTTTTAGTAAAGAGGAGGTTTCACCATGTTGGCAAGGCTGGTCTTGAACTCGTGACCTCAAGTGATATACCCGCCTCAGCCTCCCAAATTGCTGGGATTACAGGCATGAGCCACCACACCTGGCAAGACCCTGTTTCAAAAAAAAAATAATAAGGAAAAGAACTTTAGCCGATCCCCTTTCATTTAAACTTGCATAATAGAATGTACATACCTCTATTGTAAGTGTAACACATATCACACATTTGCTGTGATCTGTGACTTTCTCTCCTGTTAAACAGAAAACTCTTTGAGGGTAAGAATAGTATTTCATTTATAATTTAATCTCCAGTGCCCAGTGCCTTGTATTTAAAGAAGCTTAATTAATGCCTGTGAAATTAATTAAAACTCTCATGTTTATAGTAGTTGAGTGACATTATAAGTGCTATTGAAGAGAATGCTATTATTTGTATTATTGAATTGAATTTTCACTTTCTCAATTATTTTTGCAAATAGAGAATAAATGAGAGGAATTACACTATAATTTACTTTTAATTATGGAACTTTTTTATTTTCAAGGTTAAACAGAAAAGTATCCCTCTTGTATCCTCCTTTGATACCTGACATGTCCAGTTTTTAATCATAGTCTTCTGACTCCCACACTTTCTGTCATTAAATTGGATATTGTTAATAATTAATATGAATTATATGAATTAGATTTGGAATGTCTCAAAAATGATGATATGATGTTATCTGCTACAGATTAATGATAATAAAGAGAATTTATCAGCCTAATCCTATGAAATTAAAATGGCACCATTTCCTTCAGGACCACATCCTTATTCTCTTTCCATTCAAGAGTGAAACTCCTTCTCTTGAGCAGTCTTAATAAATAATTAGCTATTGAAATAGCTGCACCAGGAATCATAAAGGAAGTATATGTAATTGGTAAATAAGACCCTTACACTTTAAACTTCACCAAACGCTTAATAGGTGTTATTCAATTGGGGAATATATTTTTAAAAATAAGCAAAGTTGATGGGGCCTACCACCTGTCTCATTTATAGAATCATTCTATTTTACTTGTCAATAAAATCCAGTCTAATTACTGAGTCCTCTGAAGTTATAAAAAGCCAGAATTATGTTTCATTAGAGATCCTTGATGATAAAGTCTGAATACTAATCTACTCAGAATTGTTACAGTGTTCCATCATATTGTTAAAACTTTTCAAACACATATATGAAATATCTATTACAATGTGCGTAATTTTGTATATATAAATCTTTGTTTAACCAAATCATCAGTTATCCAGTTTTGTTGAAAATATTACATTTTCATTGGCTAAAACAATTAATTTAGAAAACTTGTCCTTTTTTTTTTTGCTTTTATACATTTAAAGCAGCTGATCTAAAGTGAAACTTTAAAAATTAATGATTTATAAGCACTTAGAAACTGTACTTTGGTGTCTGGTATGCAAGACTGAAAGTCTCTTTATTTTTCATTTGACGCATTTTAGCATGACATTTATTCTGTAGTTCATACCTCTTTCAGCTTTTTTTTTGTGTGTGTGTGTGTGAGGATGTTTGGGTGTTTATTAGTATTTTACAGACATATACAATGTCTGCAGGTTTTGTTTAAAAACCAGTGTTTGTTGTGTATAATTATTTGGAAAGAAGAGCAAGGAGGGGTCGAAGTAACCTTTGAGGCTTGTGATTTCTACCCTTGTCTTCTTATATTAGGAATATAGATAACTACCTATATATTTTATTACTAATTAAAAGGAGAAGGAAATAATATGTGCATTATCTTATGACCTAAACTAAGAATTAAGGTCCACAAAGTTCTGTACGGAGTGATGCTACTGATTGGCATGTGACCTTGAGCATTACACTTAACCTCTACCGCTCTCCATGAGTGAAGGCATTTACCCTCTGCTCACTCACAGAGGAAGTTGTAGGGGTCAGCTGTAAGTGCTTTTTGAAAGCATTTGAGAAGGACACAATGCAAGCAAATACAAAGTAAACATTAGCATTTAGAAATGAGTATTTGTTCATCATTATTTAAAAGTTGTGATCTTTCAGATTTTTTATCTAAAGGGCATTTTTTCTTTTAATTTTATATGTGAAGAGACTTCTTACTAGTATGTTCACAAAAATGTATATATGATACCTTTTAAAGAAGCAAGGAACTTTGGTTTAGCTGAATGGGGTTTTAAATGTTAACACTGAGTTTTTGGTACATCCTGAGTTATAGCAGATGTTGCTATTCTTGAGAACAAACTTCAGGTATCTGAGAAGTAATACATTTTATTAAGTTAAAGTTTATAAAGCTTACACTTGCATTGCAGGAAAGCATGTTGAGACTTAGATTCCATTTAGCCATCTATTCAAATAGAAAAATTATATTATTTACTTTTAAATTTCAAAAGAATTACCTAGCTATAGGACCCCTCTTGTTTTATTACTATTTTTGAGAAGAATGGAATCCCTGGAAAGGACCCTTCTTTATACCCATTTTTTTTAAACCTTGAATGAAGTGAAATATGCATATTTCAGACTATAGTGGCATGGAGAATTTGATTTATTTCAGCTAATTTTGTATTTCAGAAAGCTAGGGAGCACAGGTGTGGAAAGGCTGTATTTTAAGAAACAAGTGTTTTTTTCCCCCTTTCTTGTCCCTAAGAATGAGTTATGAATTATTAAAATTTAAAAGTCAAAGACTTAGAGTTAGCATTATATACAGTTTTGTCTCTCTGATTAATAGCAGAATTATCACAACCTCATAATATTACTCACTTTTTTTTGTTTTTTGAGACGAAGTGTCACTCTGTTGCCTACGTTGGAGTGCAGTGGCGCGATCTCGGCTCACTGCAACCTCTGCCTCCCGGGTTCACGTGATTCTCCTGCCTCAGCCTCCCGAGTAGCTGGGATTACAGGTGCATGCCACCATGCCCTGCTAATTTTTTGTATTTTTAGTAGAGATGGGGTTTCACTGTGTTCTCCAGGATGGTCTTGATCCGCTGACGTCATGATCCACCTGCCTTGGCCTCCCAAAGTGCTGGGATTATAGGCATGAGCCACCGTGCCTAGCCCTGATATTACTAACTTTTTTAAGTAAATATGAAATTCTAGTGTACTCAGAATAACAACTATTAAAACAAGTAAGGCATGTAAAGAAATATTATTTCTTTGAACTGACATTAAGAAGAGTGAATAATGATCCTCAAATGTGAGGTTTCTGAGCAGAAAGCAACTTCAAAAAACATATTGTCCTTACTGTTCAGTAGCCAACTGAATGAAACTTAGAATCATCAGTTTTCTTTTTGAATTTAAAGTTCACATTGATGTTTATAATGTGTGTGTGTTGATATCTATAACTCTTTGGTTTTGAATATTTACCTTTAACATATTAAATGAAATGACCAAACTAATCTACCTTTTATTTAAATTTTATCTATTTTTTACAACCTTCTTTTTGTTCTTACATTGTATTTCAGTTTTCTTAATATTTCCATGTTTTCCTTTTTCCTTTTATGCAGCATATTTTTTTATTTTACTCTATCTTCTGTCTTCCTCCCAAGAATCATAGGAATTCTTTTTCCTTGATCATAGCAGGTTTTTTCCGTTAGCTCCCTTTGCATTTGCCTCTATATAAGGTATGGAGTAGGGGTTATTTATTTATTTTAGTCTGCTTTATGAGACTGATGGAAAGACATTCTCCATAGAACATTCGCCTTGCCTTGTTTCAGAAGATGAGCTCTCTGATCATCTTATCTACACAAACTTAAGGGACCACATCATAAACCTAAGACCAAGTTTTAGCTTGTGTGAGGTGGTAACAAGGGAAAACTGTAACATGTTTATTATTTACTGATTTTCTATTAATCTATTTTATGTGGAGGAGCCCAGATTTTTTTCTGTTCACATCATCTTGAAATGTCCAAGCTTTTTTTTTCTTTCCCTCCATATCTGGTGCCCCGGTAAGTTTTGGAGGTTGTTTCTGCCATGATCATCGCCACCTGACCACGAGGAGGGTGACTTGCCCGAGAACATCACATTAGCTGGGATGAGCAGCTCCTTTGTTTTGTTTTGTTGTTAGCTCCTTAAAACCAGGCAGAACATCAGACCATGTCCACTGTGAGATTTTCTAATGTTCACCATTGTGGAATTATTAATGGTCCCTAGTGAAGTAACCATCAGCTTCATTATCTTCCATGGTTTCAACTCAAATGAAATGTATCCCTTTGAGTTAACTTTAGTTTTGATTTTAAGAGTTCTTATCCAGAAAATCAAAGTATAAAAATAAACATGTATTTTTAAATGTAAAAGATTTACATAAAAATCCTATAAGTAAAAAAGTTTTTGTAAGTACCAAACTTCATTGATCTGGAGAAAATATTTAATAGTTTCTCAGAATATCTGATATTATTCAGATATCAGTAGTAAAAGAGCTTTAAATTTGATTAAGCAAAAATAAATCCTCCTTTTGATTTAAAAAGCAAAGTCTATTTTTACTTTTTATTTAAACAATTTGAATACAAAATTAGATAAACTGAGTTTTGGAGTTGATTAAATAAGGATTTCCCAGAAGTGGTACTTTATAAAATGTATGCCTTGTGGAAGAAGTTTGATCTTTATTATACAGATACATCCCATTTTTGGCTTCTGTTCATTTACTCATGTAGTTAATTCAACAGGTATTTATTGAGCACTTACTATGGGTTAGCTACTCTTGATAAACACGTTTGAAATAGTGGGGAAGAAGAGGGATGAATATGCCTGCCCTTATGGAAATTCCAAACTATTTTGGGAGTGTTTACAACTTGTTATCTATTATTTGGTGTAGTTATAATTAAGCATTATACAATAATGACCTGAAAAAAGTAAGGATTCTTTCAATGGATTTTACGCCTGCTGACTTGGTGTAAAAGAAACCCTAAATCCTAAAACAAAATTCCACTTAAGTGGACAATTCTTATTTGAATTTGAGTTGAAATATTAAAAAACAATACTGTCAGTAGTTTCTAACAGAAATCATGAATCATCCTCATTTCTGAACCCTGGAAAACCTTACAGTGGACAGAGTCTGAAATTTCTCCTAGGTTTTCTTTACACTTTTAAGTTGTTTTCTCCTATTGCTTTGTTTTTTTTGTAACAGAGCCTGAGAATAAGGATAGCACTGAAAATTGCACAATGGAAATGGAGGCATCTCTGCTATATTGCATAATTAACAAGAAAATCTTAAGTTTTCTTTGTCTTAAGAAATTAGTATACATTAAGAACTAATTTTTTGTTTCTATGATTGTACTATGTAATTTCCTTAACAAACAAATAAAATCCTTAGGGTTTATTTCCACCTCGAATGTTAAAGTAGATATACCTAAGTATCTATGCAGTAAAACTAGCATTCATACTGTATAATATATATTGATTTTTATTAATTGTTTTATTTTTATTCATAAATGTTTAATACGTGTCCTAAGTGCTTGAGGGTATCAGAGGCTAATAATAAGAAATGTCATCTGCTTATAATGGTGTTCACAGTCTAGTTAGAGACAAAAGAACCCCACATGAAAATTAAAGCATTTATATTAGGTAATATGTGATTTAGCTTAGTGGGAAGTCTAGTGTAGGCCACTACAGTAAGCCTAATCTTGCATCAAGTGAACTTACTATGTAGAAGAAGTTCTAGGTGGCCTTCCTGGGAATCCATCCTTCCTTTTAAGTCTGGACAAAGATGGTTAGCAGGCTTTCTTTTTATGTTAATTATCTAGAAAGTCTTTTTGTCCTTGGACACCTAAGGGTAGAATATTCTCTGCGCTAGCTGTTGTAGTGCCTCAGCAAGAGAGGGAGGGAGGAAGAGGGAATGGAGCACACATTCTACCCATTTATTACATTCACAAGCTATCACCTTTGGAAGCAAAAATTGCACCTGAGAATAGAATATATGGACACAGTATGAGTACATTTTAGGTTCTTGAGAATAACAATTATTTAAGACTGGGCACAGTAGCTCACGCTTACAATCCGTGTGCCTTGGGAGGCTGAGTTGAGAAGATTGCTTGAGGCTAGGAGTACGAGACCAGCATGGGCAACATAGTAAGACCCCTGTCTTCGAACACAAAAAACTTAGCTATAGGTGGTAGTGCGCACCTGTGGTCCTAGCTAGCTACTTGGGGGGCTGAGACAGAAGGACGGCTTGAGCCCAGTAGGTTAAGGATACAGTGAGCTATGACTGAGCCACTGCACTCAAGCCTAGGCAACAGAGTAAGACACTGTTTAAAAAAAAAATTATTTCAGGCTGGGCGTGGTGGCTCACGTCTGTAATCCAAGCTCTTTGGAGGCCAAGGCGGGTGGATCACCTGAGGTTGGGAGTTCAAGACCAGCCTGACCAACAGGGTGAAACCCTGTCTTTATAAAAAAAAAAAAAATTATTTCAAAGCTTTATGAAGTCTGATACATCAATATGGGCCCCATGGACAAAGGGAGTTCCCTGAAAATGGAAGACTCACTGGAAGGGGAGTTAAAACGTGGAGTTGGAAGCTTTTGATAGTTACTAGAGATACTTCCTCAGTTTTCCCTAAAGTAGCCCTTCCCACAAGATGGGTGTCCTCCAGGCCTAATATGACAAATTTAGGAAGTTTGCATATATTGCTGTGATTTATAGATATAATCTTTGTAAATTGTTTTGCTTTGGAATTAGCTGAAGATCCTGATGTGTGTGTGTGTGTGTGTGTGTGTGTTTAAATTCTCAAATGTAATGTGTGACTGTGGCTTTTGTTTTCATTTTCTTGGATATATGAAAATATTAAGCATTGCTTTGTTTTTATAGTGCAGGTGTTTGTTTATTTGAAGCTAAATCTAAGACAGAATAATGCAATGTATGCTTGCCTCTTAGATTTAAATTAGGGGGAAAAGTCCAGGTACAGTGGCTCATGGCTATAATTCCAACACTTTGGGAGGCTGAGGAGGGCAGATCACCTGAGGTCAGGAGTTTGAGACCAGCCTGACCAACATGGTGAAACCGCATCTCTACTAAAAATACAAAAATTAGCTGGGTGTGCTGGCAGGTGCCTGTAATGCCAGCTACTTGGGAGGCTAAGGCAGGAGAATTGCTTGAATCTGGGAGGTGGAGGTTGCAGTGAGCTGAGTTCATGCCACTGCACTCCAGCCTGGGAGACAGAGCAAAACGCCATCTCAAAATAAATAAATAAATAAAAAGAAATAAATTAGGAGAAAAAAATCCCCAAAGCCTCAGTGTTTATTTTATCTGTTAATAAAAGTATTTGGACCCTTATGTGGATACTTCCTTTTTCTTTTTCTTTTTTTTAAAGATAATCTGTATGAAGAGTTTCTTTTCCTGAAAACTGTTTCTCCTAGAACCGTCACTCAATCTATATGATTCAAAAAGCCACTAAAGGTAGTTATGTTAATTATCTAGAAAGTCGTGATGGTTTTGAGGGTATATACATATGTCACAACTTACTAAATTGTACATTTTAAATATATGCACTTATCGTATATTAAGAACACTTTTTTAAAAAGCCACCCAGATTGTAAGGTATGTTATCAAGATAAAATACCTGTTATAAGAATTATATTTTTTAAGTTTGTTATTTATTTTTTATTTCTTTATTTCATCCACCAAAAGGATATTGATGAGATATTTCATTCACCTATATCTCATACCCCAGACACACATATTTCAAGTAAGAAAGACAAATAGAATTAAGGAGGCCTTTGTGCCTATTGAAATTTAGGTATAGGACCTTAGAGAGCTTTTTACCATATGTAAAAATATGGAGAAAAGACTCACTAGAGTATCTTTAAATAATTTGCACAAATTTGAATGTGGAGAATTGGAGTTGTGTATTCTTCAAGGAATCCTTTTCTTATAGTTTAACAGATTATGACTCATCTTTGGCAAGGAGTAAAGAGCATGATTTTAGTGAGGCTCTTTCCTCCCCTTTTCTTTCTTTCTTTCTTTTTTTTTTTTTTAGAAGAGGTTAAATGGCTTAATGCTTTTTAAATATTCCTTTCTCTCCCCCGCATGTTATACATTAAATTTTGGCATGTTGGGCCATAGACTCTGTGAATAGATTTGTTTAGGGAAAAACTAGGTTTGTTCCATTATTCTTGCTTCTATGGTCTTGAGCACAGTACAGATACCTTGATATGTTTGTTAGTTGGTGGTTTAATGTTAACCGAATATTCCTTATGTTATCCAGTATATATTATATCAGGTAAATTTCTGTATGTATAATATAAAAAAAATTTTTTTTTGAGACAGGGTCCTGCTCTGTCACCCAGGCTGTAATACAGTGGTATGATCACTACCCACTGTAGACTCAGCCTCCCAGGCTCAAGCAATCCTCCCACCTCAGCCTTTTGAGTAGCTGGGTCTACAGGTATACACCATCACTCCTAGATAAGTTTTAATTTTTTTTTTTTTTGAGATGTTTCGCCCTTGTTGCCCAGGCTGGAGTGCAATGGTGCTGTCTTGGCTCACTCCAATCTTTGCCTCCCAGGATCAAGTGATTCTCCCTCCTTGGCCTCCCGAGTAGCTGGAGTTACAGGTGCCCACCCACCACACCTGGCTAATTTTTTGTATTTTTAGTAGAGATAGGGTTTCACCATGTTGGCCGGGCCGGTCTTGAACTCCTGACCTTCAGGTTATCCACCTGCCTTGGCCTCCCAAAGTGCTAGGATTACAGGGGTAAGCCACCGTGCCCAGTCAATTTTTAAATTTTTTTGTAGAGATGGAATCTTACCATGTTGTTCCAGCTGGTCTTGAATGCCTGGCCTGAAGCAATCCTCTTGCCTCAGCCTCCCAGAGTGCTGGGATTACAGATATGAACCACAGTGCCAGGCTGAAGCTTCTTTATTGTTGGATTTAATGCATAGGTTAAATTTAGAACATTGGCAAATTTTCATGAATTAAAAAAATAGTCTAGAAAAATGATCAGAGTTGTGTTTCTGGGGTTGGGACTATCAGGGCATTAATGAGTGATTTGGAAGCTCTAGCTCTTTCTACAACACTGGTAGGATATAACCTAGAGGAGAAGCCCTGGGTTATTGTAATGTAGAGCCACACTGTTCTCTAGGATGCTATCTCTCATACCATATTCCCCCATACCCAAGCTTTCTATTGTAGAACTTTTCAGACATGTAGAAAACCTAACAGAATAATTCAACAAACACCCATATTCTCCCTACCCAGATTCAGTAGTTATTAACCTTTTGCTATATTGGCTTTATAAGCCTGTCCCTCTTTCTCTGTATGAATACTTTTTACCTGTACCATGTGAAGTTAAGTTTCAAGCATCACAAATACTTACCATTAAACGCTTCAGAATATATGTTCTGAGAATAAGAACATTTTCCTACATAACCACAATAGCATTATCACACCTAGGAAAATTGGTAATAACTTGGAATGCTTTTCAAAAAATCAGTTCATTAAAGGCACATGAATTTATATTCTAGTAAAAATTAAATTCATATAAAGCGAGAAGTTTCATAGAATATGGAATTCTGGAAATTTCTGGTAAAGATACGCATTTCTTCTCTGTGTTTGCTAGTAAGGCCACTACTTGAAACATTTTTGTGAGGTAAACACATTTTCTATGTTTGGTGAGGTAAAATATTTCTGACTCTCCCATTGTATGATCATAGCCATGAGAAGAAAGAAACATTCTCAAAGATCATGTCACAGTGTGGTTTAGAGGAAAAAGCTCAGTTTTGAGTCAGAAGGATCAGTGTTGGTTCAAACAGTTGCTCTGCCAACTTCCCTGCAGGTGACCTTGCAGTGAAGTTCTTGTATCAGTTAAGATGCTTTCAGAAACTGCCCTCAAGCTCACTGGAATCATTAGGAAATGTGTTTTCAGAAAAAATTCAGAGGCAGGGCAGGCTTCAGGGTTGGTCAGTTCTGTAGCTCAGGTTACGTGTCTTTCTGCTGTGCCAGGCTCCTTGTTGGCTCTGACTTTGTTTCAGCTTCTTCCTCCAGTGGGTTTATAGCCATACATTACTATATTCAGAAGTCAGAAACCTCTCCACAGGGATGGACTGTCAGTTTTCCTGTCTGATCGGGCATCTCAGCTCACTTCTGGACCAGTAACTGTCTTCAGAGAGCATTCTGCCCTGGATGGCTTGGACTGACCTGTAACCCTGACCCTAGAGCCAGGATGGGGTTCCATTAGGTAGAGGAAGGGAGGAATAAATGTTGGGTATGTCTCTAAGACTCCATTTTCTTTGCTGTAAAATAGTAACAGTGATATCTACCTCTATGCATATTACTTGTTATCAAATAAGTAAAGCAACAAACACAAAGCCGATCTTTAATAAATGTTCATTCGTGGCCCGGTGCGGTAGCTCACGCTTGTAATCCCAGCACTTTGGGAGGCTGAGGCGGGTGGATCATGAGGTCAGGAATTCAAGACCAGCCTGTCCAATATGGTGCAACCCTATTTCTACTAAAAAATACAAAAATTAGCTGGGTATGGTGGTGCACACCTATAGTCCCAGCTACTTGGGAGGTTGAGGCAGGAGAATCGCTTGAACCCAGGAGGTGAAGGTTGTGATGAGCTGAGATGGTGCCACTGCACTCCAGCCTGGGTGATAGAGTGAGACTCTATCTCAAAAAAAATTAAAATAAAATAAAATAAATGTTAATTCCTATTCTTTCTTCTCTCCTTTCAATCTTATATAAAATTCCATTTTCCTTTGATGCTGCCACACTCCATACTAGTGAGCATTTGTCAGTGACTCTCCCTTGGCTGGTCTCCTACCTGACCTCTCACCTCACTGTCTAGGGCATAGCATTTTATGTGAGCTTTGCAAATTGGTCAGACCTTCCATTAACCTATCTTGCCCATCTTATTTTTTTTCTCATATATTTCTTTTAAATTTATTCCATAATATATACCTAGAAACATCTTCTATTTCTCAACTTCACTTGATATTTTTCCAAAGCCAAGGAAGGGAAATTGTTAACAATGTGGACAAGGCCAGGCATGGCAGCAAGTACCTGCAGTCCCAGCTACTCTGGAGGCTCAGGCAGAAGAATCACTTGAGCCCAGGAGTGCAAGATCAGCCTGGGAAACACAGCAAGACCCCACATTTAAAAAATAACACTTAAAAAAAAACAGTGTGTTGTACATATTTATCAAATGTGAAGAAAAATGTCTTCAGCTTTACTCTTCATAAAAACAGAGTTGAAATAGATTTCCCCTTTTATGAAAAGAAAACCATGATGACCCATGAAAAGGTCAGCAAAATAAAGTGCTGTTTGAAATATAGTATCTTGTTTGTCCAGGATAGACCAGGTCTTTGATATTTCAGGAAAATCTAGACTCACCACAGTAGTTTAGCTGCTCCAGTTTCATCAGAACTTCCTTTTAAAAAAAATTGTGTCTAAGTGGAGCATGGTGGCTCATGCCTGTAATCCCAGCACTTTGGGAGGCCAAGGCAGGCGGATGGATCATGAGGTCAGGAGTTTGAGAACAGCCTGGCCAACATGGTGAAACCTCGTTTCTACTGAAAATACAAAAATTAGCCCGGTGTGGTGGTGGGTGCCAGTAGTCCCAGTTACTTGGGAGGCTGAGGCAGGAGAATTGCCTGAACCTGGGAGGTGGAGGTTGCAGTGAGCCGAGATCACGCCACTACACTCCAGCCTGGGTGACAGAGTAAGAGTCTGTTTCAAAAAAAAAATGTGTCTAATTTACCAATAAATCTTTTTTGGATTCTTTTGTCTTGAACCCTCTCATACCTACTTTAAGAGAGAGTCATCTTCCGAAGATGTGTTTTCCAAATACTGTATGTCGGAACAATGGAGGGTCTTTGTTCAGGCATGCCCTATTGAAAATAGAGAGAAAAGAATTGTCGTATTTTTTCACCCGGGGGATTTCTAAAGCACTTCTGAAACACCTGTAATGTCCTGCAAAATTGCCACAACCCAATTACATGGGATGATTTTTCCTTTTGAATTTTCTTCCAAAATGACAGGATTACTCTTAAAGGAAAGTTATTGATCCCTGTTGACCCCTGTAAGTAGAACGTTTTAACTCTGCCACCCTCCATGGCAAGAGTATAGAGGAAGGGTGAAAAGTCTGCTGTTCTGCTTGACTTGGAAGGTGCTGAACCCTGGCTTGTGCCTTTCTGTTACATTTTTTTCAGTGTCTTTAATTTTTAGATTTAGTGGTATCTATTGATCTTTTAGGCTCTGTGAATACTGAAAATACTCCGATTTTGAATGGTTCCATCCATAATTCAGAGCTCCTGCTAGTATGAATCTTTTCAGCCAGAGAGATGGTTTTTAAAGGAACTCTTTAAGTATGTGTTGATGTTTTTTACATATCTCAAATTAGGTTCTGTTATTGTAATGCTGCAAATGAAAGCAAAACTCGGAGATAAATTATAATTTTATTGAAGAAGCCAGAGAAGGGACATTGTGGCTATAATTTTGGTTAAAAGTGCTGAGTTTTGAGAATAAAAAATTTGAAATTCATATTGCATTCCTTAAAGGGCTACTGGTTATTTTTAAGGAGGATGAAATATGATTATAACTTAGGAAGCTTGGTTTCATTTGAGCACATTTTAAATGTTAGTGCCTTGCAGAAAAGTTTTGTGGACAAGATTCCTTTCGCTGTGTAACAAATGCTTTTACTGTTTAGCCAAGGTTTGCTACTAATGGCTCAGAGACTGAAATGAAAAGTGAAATGGCTGTTGTCTCCCCTCTGATAGCTTGATTTTATTTTTATTTCTGCTACCCACTGTTAAACAAAGAAAGCCAAGATCAGGATCCAAAAGCTCAAACAAACTAACATTTAATTTCCCAACTAGAATAAGACTGGCCTTGCCGTGATGTGAAAGTCTTGTATAGGAAACATTTATTCGTAGCTGCACAGTTGAGCATAGTGATTGCTGGATCAGGGTGTACTCTTGCCTCCAGACAGTCAAGCAGGTAAAAAACAATCGAGACTAAGAAGTCGGACTGACTCAATTTCTCTCTGTTGAGAAATGTTTTAACTGTGTTTCTTGCCCCTACTTCTTGCTCTACTTGAGAGAATGGACCAAAAGTCTAAGTAACAGCGGTTTGGAAAGCAATAAAGAGGCCAGAGTGTATTATCTGCCACTTATTACTGAGGGTATATACTCCAATGATAGAGCAATCGCTAGAGTTTTGTCTTTGTGTTTGCTTCTTTCTTGCTTCTGTCATTCCTGTGTACTATCTTGGAGCTTCTCGTGGGCAAGATCTACAACTTCAAGTTGTGTGCAATGGATTCTAAGGGCAAACTGCCATAGTTCCAAGTCATTTATTGTTTTCGTTTTTCTCGAGGAATTCTTATCCTAATGGAAACTGCAGCATGACCGGTGAAAAATTGTTGACCAGCTAAGGAAAATGTATTTACAGTAGTTTTTAAAAACTATTTGGAAAAGAGCTTATACTTGGAGAAAATTTGTCTTTACTTTGGCAAAGTCCCTAGACATAAGCTTTACTGTGTACCAGGTCATGGATCCATCTTTCCTACCTTAGCATGAATCCTTGTGGTACAAAGATACTCTTGTCTTCTCAACACTGTTGTGTTCCACTACCACTAATTTCACATCATCACTAGTGTAGTGACTACTGAATGGTCTAAGTACACTAGATTGACATGGGTCATGAATATTTGATTTTATTGGCAGTACTTATGCGTCTTAAGAACAATATGATAAAAATGGAAACATTTTCCATGTGGGCTAATTTAGGATTATTAATAGAATCATAAAGGCATTTGACCACTCTTTTTTCTGTTTTGTTCTGATATGATGATTGGACAGGGAGTTGGACAAAGAAACATTGCATAAAATGGATCACTTCGATGGTGTAGGAGAGGTGCTTGTTGCTACTACTTTTTATTTGTCTATGCAATCTACAAATCAGTTCATACGGCCTCTGACAACTGTTCTGGTGAGCTAGCTTTGTGTATTTTGGAGAAACTGTGACTTTTATTATTGAATAACTGTGTGAGTAATTATAATAATAAAACTGTGTATAAGAATATAATATAATAATTATGTGAATAATATAATAATGAAACTGTGACTTTTATTATTGAATAATTATGTGAATAGGAGTTTTAAAAAAATGGATTTTCTGTTTCCTGAAATAGAGGCCTTTTCTTTAAGATTATTTTGCTTCACTTTATGTTAGTTATTTTTGATGTTGTTGGTATGAGAATTACTCTGTTAAATTGTTTTTCAATCCAAGTTGTTGACATTCCAGCTAGCAGTATCCCTACCTTTCGCCTTTGGAATACAAAATGAGATGCACTTTGGAATACTTAAATCTTAATTTTTGAATGCTAGATGTAGGTATCAGTTCAAACTAACTACACCATTATATGAAGAGGGAAAAAAATAGGTATTTTTTTTTTTTTTTTGAGACGGAGTTTTGCTCTTGTTTATCCAGGCTGGAGTGCAATGGTGCGATCTCGGCTCACCGCAACCTCTGCCTCCTGGGTTCAGGCAATTCTCCTGCCTCAGCCTCCTGAGTAGCTGGGATTACAGGCACGTGCCACCATGCCCAGCTAATTTTTTTTTTTTTTGTATTTTTAGTAGAGACGGGGTTTCACCATGTTGACCACGATGGTCTCGATCTCTTGACCTCATGATCCACCCGCCTCGGCCTCCCAAAGTGCTGCGATTACAGGCGTGAGCCACCGCGCCCGGCCCAAAAATAGGCATTTTTATGACTAGGAAAAAGTTGTTGGCAAAGAAGAGTTCTGTTTTGTTCAGTCAGTTACTGAAATGGAATTTTTATTAGGTGTGTCTTTGAGGCTAAAATGATTTAATACTTACAGTCACCTATGAGCATTTGTGTAGTGAGTTCTTGGAACCCTTTGTGCTCCTGGAGAGCAGTTTATGTAGCAAATGTGTAGTAAGCGAGTGTATTATGACTTTCCTAGCTAGCACACCATTGAGCACGTGATGTTTCGGTGTACTGGAGTGCAGCAAGCAGTTAAGCCATGGGGTGTCAAGTAGAAGCTCAGGCACTTGGTCAACCCAGTTATAAATTTCTATTCTTCACATGTCCTCCTATTTTCTCTGTGTGCATTATAATTGGTTTTAGTGATCCTGTCAATTTGACAAACCGAAAAAGGTAACAAAAGTAAAGTCCAAATAGTCAGTAAAAGTTGAATAGGGGCAAATATTAATAAGGGTTCCTATCAATTCAGTTTCTGTTACTATTCCTCTTACTGATTGCCTTGACTGGCAAGTTGACTGTTTTACCTTATGTGAGGTTTTATTCTTTTAAAAATAGAGTTCATGAACTTTGTGCTGGCTCCAAATGTGTCAAGCTCTGCTCTCATCATTGCTTTGTTCAGTTGATAAAATTCCTGCTCATTTAAAGCATTCCTAACTCAGACTATTAACACTCCTGCCTGCCACGTTTTTGCTATCATTGTTTCACATCATTGACTTGTGTATTCAGGTGTCCTTTTTTTTTTGAGACGGAGTTTCACTCTTGTTGCCCAGGCTGGAGTGCAATGGTGTGACCTCAGCTCACCACAACCTCTGCCTCAAACAATTCAAGCGATTCTCCTGCCTCAGCCTCCTGAGTAGCTGGGATTACAGGCATGCTCCACCACACCCAACTAATTTTTTGTATTTTTAGTAGAGACGGGGTTTCTCCATGTTGGTCAGGCTGGTCTCAAACTCCTGACCTCAGGTGATCCACCCACCTCGGCCTCCTAAAGTGCAGGGATTACAGGCATGAGCCACAGTGCCAAGCCGTCAGGTATCCTTTACTACATAAAGGAATGAAGCTGGTGACAGCCATTTTCAAGTATAATCTGAAACTACTTCCAGATTTTTCTACAAAGGTATTTGGCATCTGGTTAGCACTCATGTTGGATGGGAACCCTGGGATAGCCCTTTAGGTTTCTTGACATGTTTAGGATATGTGGCCAATGTTACTTGCTGGCACCTACCCTGAAAAAGTTGAACTGGTGTCATACTTTTATGCTTCTGTTACGTCTAACTATAAAATGAAGGAAATGCTCATGGCACTTCCCCCTTATTTAGTGAGTTCTCTGCAGCTCTCAGAGGAGTTGGCCAGGGGCCGCTGGATGCCAGTCCATGTTTCTGTTCTTTTCTAGTTCCTGTAATGTAATGTTGCATAAAACGTGCACTTGTTATCTTCTTTTTTTCTTATGTTCTCCTAAAAACTGAAAAGTAATATTTGCTATTATCATCACCATTTCTCAGACACTAAGAATAAGGCCCATCTTGCTAATTATTTGACCTAGGAGTCTACGTAATGAACTGCAGAGCTAAACAGAACTTGGGATTCTTTCTGGCCTTCATTTCACTACTGAGCCACAGTTTCCACCCTTTTCAGCTACACTTAAAACAGGACCAAAGAAACTAATTTCCAGGTACCAAGAATATTTCTCGCATCTCTTCTTCAGTGTTCCAGTGTTAGGATTTATATGAGATTTATTGTATGAAGTAAAGCTTCATTGCCAGTTATAAACACGATCCACTCCCATATTATTCCTGATTTGACTGCTATCCCAGAAGGTGATGGATAGTTGAAGAAAGATTAAAATGAATGCAGCCCCTATTTTCTTTTTTGCCCTTCTAAATTTGATTTAACAGGTTGCTTGCTGCCAGGAAATTTCATGAATGGGCAAATGTTAATAAGCCAGATTTTTCCCCTTTATAGTAATAAATGTAACAGAATATCTCCCCAAAGTAGATTCAGTTAGAGTATGTTAGTACTTGAGCGAGTACTACCTGAACTTACAGGAGAAACCAACTGCAACCACTCTGAAAATGATGTGGTTCCTATAAAACTTGGTTACTGCAGTCTGAACATATTTCATGCTTTGAAATATTTTGTCCATAGTTCTTTTTGTTAGTGAATGTACAGCTTGAGGAGAGTTCTGTAAAAACTAGAATAGACTTTCTGCTTTCAAAATACTTTTTAAAAATCAAACTGAGGATAAAGTTGCCAAGTGACAGGATTTCCCCACTTTCAGAGTAACAAAAGTGAAAGTTGGATTTTGATCAATTTTGCTTAATCTTCTTAGTGAAAACCTAAGATCCAAAGTGCACGCTGAGCGCACGCACCAAGCAGTTAAGCAGTTTTGTTGTTTTAGTGCCGCTGAACGTGAACTGGTACATGTACACACATGCCACACATAAAGAGTCCATTCTTGCTCACATGCAGACCGAGAAGTCTGGCCGCAGAGGTCTTGGGCTCAGTGGTAGTTGGCAGCCTCTCTTCTCCTGTAAACAACAGCCTGACGTCACCCCATGCAGTGGTGATAGCAGACCAACTTCAGAGATTCCCAATTGACAGAATGGTGGAAGGGCTGGCTTTGATCATCTTCAGTCATGCTTGAGTGAACGCAATGCAGAGAAATGTGTTAATGTCAGACATACTGGAGTAGCCCTTAAAACTGTTTTTGAAGTACATAATCTGTGAATCTTCACATGTAATCCCAACAACAAATCTGTGTGATCAGCAAGAGAATTGTGGCTATTCCGATCATAGAAATGTGCCAGTTCAAGTCCAGAGAATACAAAAGTTGGTAAGTGGTGGTGGAGTGACTCAAATTTAGGCCTTCCAAACCCTGTCTTATCTCTCTTTCCACTATATTGAATATTTCTGTAGAATAGTAATTGTTAATTGTTCTATTCTGCTACTTCCTTTCTCACCTAAAATGTGTGGGGTGATGAATTATGGGATTCCCCCCCCCCGTAGTCAAGACATCTGTGCATTAATGTCAGATATACTCTTTCTGCATTCAGCAACTCCTAGACAATAAGGTAACACACTCCTCTGCCTCCGAGAGAGCCTTTGAAAAATCTAGCATAAGCCTACCCTCACAGCTTAATTGGGAAGATTTATTAACAAGATGATCCTGTTGCTCATTTGGCTTCTGAAAGCTACATAAAACTGAGAGGATGAATGGTCGTAATTCTTGTGTGTTGTTAACTGGAAGAGACAAAACTAACATGAAAGGACTGCTCTATTAGTTAGAAATCAGAATTTTATTGGGGGAGGAGGAGAAAGTTGAATAGCTACTGGTGAAAATACAACTTATTAGTTATATAAAACAGTTGTCTTTTCTCATGTGTCCACTTCTGTTTTACTTTCAGGCAGTTACAAAAAGTAGAAAAAGAACTGTTACCTTTCATGATTTATATAGTTGCATATATGATTTGGGAATACTTCACATTGTAGGTAGCTCTTGGTTTTCTGTTTGTGACTGAGTTAGTTTTTCAGGGTGACCTTAAGAATAGGCGGGAAGAGTGCTTAGATATGTGTGGATTATTCACAGTGAAGTATGTGGACCTTCTGTGCTGAATGCCCAGAACTTGGAGCAGCTCACCTGAGAGGTGTATGTTTAGGGAATACAAAATTATGTTGATTTTAGTTTACCCCTGACTGAAAATGTATTAACATCCTATACATTAAAAAAGCAAATGTAGTTTTTAAAAAAACTGCTTTTTAAAAATGCTCTTGGGAGATAGTACGCACGCAAAAAACGAGTTTTAACTAAAGCTGTGATAACCAGAGGTTAATTATTTAGCAACCTCAATAAGCTAGCATCTATACAATAATTGGCTAAAATATACCCAAGAAAAAAGTACACTTGGGCCAGGCGCGGTGGCTCATGCCTGTAATCCCAGCACGTTGGGAGGCTGAGGCAGGTGAATCACCTGAGATCAGGAGTTTGACACCAGCCTGGCTAACATGGTAAAACCCCATTCTACTAAAAATACAAAAATTAGCTGGGCGTGATGAGGATAGCCTCCCGAGTAGCTGGGTGTGTCTGTGTCTGTAGTCCCAGCTACTTGGGAGGCTGTGGCAGGAGAATTGCTTGAACCTGGGAGGCAGAGGTTGCAGTGAGCCAAGATTGCACCACCACACTCCTGCCTAGGTGATTGAGCAACAGTCCATCTCAAAAACAAACAAAAAAACTACATTTTGGGTGAAAGAACTGTATCTTACTGATAAAATAAAACAACCTAAAAAGGGTATTTATTTTGCATTTTATTTCATTAAATGGAAAAAGATGTTTTGCCTTTAAAAGATGATACTACCAGTTTTTAAAATTACATCAGGCTGAAGGAATAAAATATATAAAACGTTCTTAAAGCCTCCATTTATGAAGAAACAAAGAAAACAAGTCACTGCCTTCTTATCATCTCTCTCTTTTTCCTGTGAGTGACAAAGAATAGGAGCAAGTAACAGCTGCTGGCCAAAGCCTCTCGCTTCTGTTCTGCAATTAAAGTCTCAAAGTCTGGGGCTACTGTGAGAGTGGACTGACACGTGCAGGGAGCAGCCCGAGCAATGCATTGTGCTGGGGAGCATCCTGCGGTAAGCTGCTCATGCAGGGAGTAGCCATGCAGCAGCTCAAGCTGAGAGCAGCCCTTGCAGTGCTGTGTGTACCCTGTGGGATGCAGTGCAGAAAGCAGTCAGTGCAGCAGGCATACCAGTCTGGGTCTTCCCCAACACTGCCCTTGGGAAAACCCACACCTATTCTTACAGGAATGGCAGGAGGGAGTCTGCCCAAACCAGCTTTAAGTTAAAAACAAAACAAAGCAAAAGAATTTCTAAAGTGATGCAGCTTATCATCTAACAGGCAGTGGAGTTTCTTAGCACTGCCTGAGGTTGTTTGTAATTGTAAACAAGTAGTAGTAAGGGCAGAGGCCAGATGTTAGATAACTGAAGTCAGTGGTAGAGACCAGCTGGAGAGCCAAGCTGGGCTTAGATTTTAACTCTTAAGTTGTCTTACTGTCCACTCCACACATAGATATAACATGAGCAAAAAACAAAGTAGAATTTCAATTTTAATTCTTCAGGAAAGCATTAGCTTTTTTTTAACACCTCAGAGTTTGTTGAAAAATCCATTTTGGCAGGTCGGTACAAGGAATAATAGCATCTGTATTTCTATGGTGCCTTGCAGTTTGTAAGTGCTGTCACGAGCATTATCCTATTTAACACCCACAGTCACAGCCACCTTGTGAGGTATTGTCTTTCCCATTTGACAAATGAGGAAACAGACTTCTGAGAGTTTACAGCTTGTCTAAGGACACACAACTAGTAGTCATTAGAGCCATCCTGCTCCAGTATTCCCTCCACTGTGCACCCAGCACTTTGATAGCATCTAGCTTCCTGTCTTCCCTATCTCTCACTCTCATATTTGCACAGAAAACCACAGTCTAACAATCTGCCTTAGTGACCATTCCATGTTACTTACTCACAGTAAGAACATAAATGTCATCAAAGGGTAGCTTCTTGATTGACTTTGAAGTCAATAATTGAATAAAGGAGGAGCCTTGTTATTTCTTACTTAGAACCATGCTGAATGAACCTTAGGGACCATTTTGTTCAAATATGTACATATATCTAAATCTAGAGTAAAGGCCTTCATAAGGAAAGTGAAACTCCAGTTAATTGCAAAGACTAGGGCCCACTTCCTCAAACTCAGACCATTGTGTTCTTTCTTTTAGATACCTTTTTCAACAGAGGTACAGTTCTTGTCTCAAGAGCCAATTTGACTTGAGCTTCAGATATTCCTGAGTATCTACTCTGTGCAAAGCCCTGTGTGGAATCAGCTCTGCAGGAGTTTCAGATCTAGTGAGAGAGACTTAATCTATGAGAAAATGCACCCAATGCTAAGTCTTCAGCCATTTAAAAGACTAAGAATGTCATAGATAATCCAAATTTGGTCTTGGTTGTCTGGAAAGATTTATGAAGAAGTCCTTTCTTATATGTTCTTATACGACCTCCTATTTGTAGAAAAATAGCAACTGTGGCCACTTTGGAACTTTTGGAATAATGCCACCCATTCCTGAAAAGCTGAAGTATTAAGATTAAAAGCAAATCAAACTGTGATTATTAGCACCAAGTTTCTTTTCTTTTTTTTTTTTTTGAGACGGAGTTTCGCTCTTGTGCAAATGCAGGCTGGAGTGCAATGGCATGATCTCGGCTCACCGCAACCTCCGCCTCCTGGGTTCAGGCAATTCTCCTGCCTCAGCCTCCTGAGTAGCTGGGATTACAGGCACGCGCCACCGTGCCCAGCTAATTTGTTGTATTTTTAGTAGAGACGGGGTTTCACCATGTTGATCAGGATGGTCTCGATATTTTGACCTCGTGATCCACCTGCCTCGGCCTCCCAAAGTGCTGGGATTACAGGCGTGAGCCACCGCGCCCGGCCAGCACCAAGTTTCTCTTTAGGCCTTGCCCTAAAAGTTTTAACTTAGAAAATAACATAAAACTCATATTTTATTATAAAAGCCCTGGTAATAACTTTGAGCTCCTTAAAGTACATTTTCAAAGAGCTGATGGTGAGGAAGCCACATACTTCATGGGCCTTCCCTGAGCACTGATCAGCTGAGAACCTGGAGAGCCTTTCTGAGTATACCCCCGATAATTTGGGCTGTCTGCAAGTCAAGCTGAATTGATAGGGAATGCATAATTGATCAGGATAATTACAAGTGCCGTTATATAAAAGAGATCAGTTTACCAATGAACACTCACAGAATGCCTTTATAGACCTAACTTGCACCAGAGTTAAATTTGTCTTTCTCAATAGTTGCTTTCAAAACTGAACAAACTGCATTGTATAAATGGGTCAGCTTTTACAGTATTCTGCATAAAATATTCAGATATACACAAAGGCAGTTGGATTGTAAATTTCAAGGGCAAACTAGTCTCCAATAAAGCAGGTATGGGAGGAAGCTGTGTTATGTTCTTAGAGGAATGAGTTTCTCTTTAACTTAAAAAACTGCATTCAATATCCTGCTTGCTTTGCTTGGATCATACTCAGCTTCTATTTTTTGCCTTTTAGCCAACCTCTTTTCATTTTTTCATGTTTCTGCCTCTCAGTCAGCAGTATTTGGCTATAATCAGGTGATTTTGCCCTCAGTTAGTTCTCCAGGGCCTAAGAACTCAATAGAATAGAATAATTTGGGGTTAGTTTTTTTGGTTATTTTTTGAGACAGAGTTTTGTTCTTGTCTTCCAGGCTGAAGTGCAATGGTGCAATCTCAGCTCACTGCAACTTCCACCTCCTGGGTTCAGGTGATTCTCCTGCCTTAGCCCCCCGAGTAGCTAAGATTACAGGTGCATTCTACCACACCTGGCTAATTTTTGTATTTTTAGTAAAGACGGGGTTTCACCGTGTTGGCCAGGCTGGTCTTGAACTCCTGACCTCAAGTGATCCACCCGCCTCAGCCTCCCGAAGTGCTGGAATTACAGGCATGAACCATGCATGCAGCCAATTTTGGGTTAGTTTTTAAAAAATAAAGACACTCCATTGGTAAAGGACTGTGTAGTACCTAACTACCTTAATGTGTCTCACTGGCTTTAAATCAGGACAGAGACAGAAGTAAAATATTATAAATGGTGTATACATGAGCTTTACCAAAGAGGGTTTCAGGATTCCACCTCCACTTACCATGTTTACACCAAAATATTCTTTATTTAATTATAGTAGTGAAGGGAAAGTTGAATTTCAACAGTAATCTTTCTGTATTTGTAGCTTTTAATGAATTGTGCCAGTTTCCCCTCTTCCATGATAAATGGAGTATGTTGAGGGCAGGGAGATTCATGAATTTTAGGACAATAATATGTTTATTATTTATTGAGACTGAAATTTTCAGTTCAACTCTTCAGTCTCCAAGTCTTTAGGACAAAAACAGGCATTGCATGTATTATTTAATTGAAAGTGTCAGAAACCTATGAAGGTAACTTAGCAGAAAATGGGGACTTACTGGCTTACAGGATATAAGAAGAATTGGGCCACAAAACTGTGGGAAGAGCGCTAATGCAACTGGCCTCAATACAGCCAGAACTCTCTCCATCTTTCATCTCTGCCTCTTTCCACATGTTTTTTCCATTCCTTCTCATAGCAGACCATTTCTCCATATGGCTGGAAACATGGCCACCAGCAATTTAGCCTACAGCTTCTGTTGCTGAAAAGTTCTGTGAGTGCCAAGTTAAAAAATTATAACGAAGTAACTCATGAGGTGAGGGTCACATAGAAACATGGTGACATGTGTGTTTGCCTGTATGACTATACATGGCTGGGTGGGTATTTCCCTGGATAAGAGAGAGTTGCTGGGCAGAAAATTACCCAGCATGTAAGTTCAGCACAGTGTGTCCAATTAGTGTCTTTCAAATGTTTGGACACAAACCCACAGTGAGAAATGTATTTTACGTTGAGACACACATATACACACATGTTTGAAGAAAATTTTCTTCAAAGAATACTCATCCTCACTATATACAAGGCATTCTGCTATTTTCTATTATATTCCAAGGTAGTTCATTTTTTAAAAATTCTGACTGTAACTCACCTAATTGATCTCTTGACTGAGTGGATAATGATCTGTAGTTTGAAAAATACTGTGCTAGGCATTAAAAGTATCAGGTCAGTTCATGTGTCAGTAGATATTTGGGTATAGATATTTATTGAGTCTTGAAGGAATAACTTGCATTCTAGGGACTCAAGGGTGACAAATATGTGATGTGGATGACTTTCTAGTTCCCATGGTGGAGATGGCAGCAGCTCTCCTACTAAGGAATATTCTGGAGCCTCTCCCCATCCCTTTGTAAAGTCAAGTAAGTTAAAACAAGTGTCCTGTGCTATCAGCTGCACTCCTGTTTGTTTTGGATTTACCTTTTGCTGAGAAATACCGAAATTCTGTGGACCTAGAAAATTTCCCAAAGTGCTTTCAGTTCTCTCTTAAAACAAAACATCAACACAGCTTTCTTGAAAGCTTTATTGTAGCAGCAGGAGGGGCAGCTTTCCTGATCACTGTGGTACTATTAAAGGATGGATGATATCTTTACCTATCCAGGAATCAGTTGAAAAACTCTAAGGTCTCCAACTGATTTTTAATTTTCTGTTGAAACATTTGAATCTATAACCTTCTATTTCTTAAATTGCATTAAAAGATTCAGATGGAAACTTAGTAACAGTAGTACAGATTGACTTCTGAATGTGACAAATGAAAATGCAGAGAAGAGTGGTGGAGTTTCTTGCCATAGTTGGAAGCCCAACGAGACCGTTAGCAACTAATAAGCAAATAGTGCCAGGGATCTAACTATGAAATGCAAAGCAATACATTTCCTTGAAATAATACTCATCCTCACTGGGTGCAAAGCATTCTTCTATTTCTGTTATCTTCAAAGGTAGTTTATGTTTTAAAAATGCTGATTATAACCCACCTAAATGATTCTATGACTCATTCTTCTAAAATAAAACTTTTAGAAAAATGTATTAGGACTATAGAGTTCGGGACAGAGAAAGATTTCATAAACACACAAAAAACACTGACCATTAAGGAAAAGACTGATAAGTTTGACTTCTGTTGATGAGCTTCTATTCACTGAAAGACAGATTAAGTACTTAGAACACAAGAGATAAATGACTCATATTCAGAATATATAAATAACTACTGGTGGGAGTATAGACTGGTACGACCATGTTTACCAGTGTCTCATACAGTTGGAGATAAGATATCCTGTGATCCAGCAGTTTTACTCCTAGGTTTATACCCTAAAGTAGCAGTTCCTCATACCTTTTGATCTCACTTGACACTTGATCTCCTGTACACTTTTAAAAATTATTGATGACCTCAAAGAACTTTTGTTTATATGGATGATATCTGTTGATATCTACCATAGTACAAAATGGAGACATTTAAAAAATATTATTCATTTAAAAACCCGTTGTGTGTTAACATAATGATTTTTTAAATGAAAAATACCATTTTACCAAAACATAAAAAAATTAGTGGAAAGAGTGGCATTGTTTTACAGTTTTGTAAATCAGTTTACTGTCTGGCTTAATAAAGGGCAGCTGGATTCTCACATATGCTTTTGCATTCAAGCAGTTGTGATGTGTTATTTTGTTTGAAGCATATAAAGAAAATGTGGCCTCACACAGATATGTAGTTTGGAAAAAGGAGGAATCTTTTCATAACCTTTCAAATAATTGTGGATATTCCTTTTTGATACTCAATTAAAACTTTGACAAATGGCAGTTCAAAAGGTTGGTGGCAGTATGAAATCTGAATCCATATCCATGAACTTTTAATGTTTATTACATTAAAATATTTGGTTTACTTTGCCTGAAGTAGGTTTTTACTTATGTATGATTTTGTAATATCATGCATTGATTATTTGGAAACATTGGTTTACTGAGTTACATAGATCTTTCCATTGTTGACACATTTTATTATACAATATTAAAATATCGCATTCTGTAACTTCACTACTGATCTCATTAGAAAAGTATTTAAGGCTTTACTTTCAGGGATCATTTCTATAGTTTGTTACTAGAAAAGTGTTTAAGTATTGGGAAACTGTCAAGTCGTAGTGGCAGACATGTTTTCCAAAACTAATTTTCACTTAAAAGCCTGAGTTTTATCACTGGCACCAACTGTCAGTTGGTTTTCAGCTTTATTTTTTTAGTGACTTTTACATTTTTTAGATATAGAAACTTGCTCTGTCACCCAGGCCAGAGTGAAGTGGTGTGGTCATATCTCACTGTAAACCTCAAACTCCTGGGCTCAAGCTGTCCTCTGTCTCAGCCTTCCAAGTAGCTGGGACTACAGGTGCATGCCATCATGTTGGGCTAATTTTTTTTTTTTCGTAGACATGGTTTCACTGTGTTGCCAGGCTGGTCTTGACCTCAAGCAATCCTCCTGTCTCAGCCTCCCAAAGCACTGGGATTACAAGTGTGAGATGCCACATCTGGCCTGTCAGTTGTTTTTCTTCAAGTGGTAGGTTCTCTTGTCTGCCAGATACTCACATTGGAATAACCATAGTCTGTCTGACTGTCATTCCTTCAGCTAAAAAATGGTGTTTTGTGATAAAAGCAACTATGTCAGCTTAAGGGCAAACAACTGCCCCAGTGCTTTTCCTCCAGGCACCCTTCCTACTTTGGCGTGTGGCAGAAGGGTTTTGTGTATGCTCTCCCATTTTGTCACACAGAATATTAAAAAGACATGTACTCACGGGAAGAGATTTAATAAAAGTAATATTTTTTTCTGCCTCACCAAGGACATTTTAAAGTGAGATTGGCATATTTAGTGTGCAGAGTAGAGGAATGCGATGACTGCTAGTACTGCCTTTGTTCATGCTAAGGCCCCAGCAGTTCTGCCAGCCCAAATGTCAACAGTGACAAGAGGCAAAGAATATCTTAGAACTAGAATGAAAATAGTTTTAAGTTCATGGACTCTCTGAAAGGGTCTGGGGATTCCCAGGGGCCCTGCTCCCCTCCCCACAGGACCACACATCGGAAGCCCTAGGGCATGCCCAGCTCTTGTATCAGGAGTACATGCACTACAATGGGATGGAAAGCAGGGGCCATGATCAAGGAGGGTGTGTGGCTGGGAGAGAGGGAGCTTTTCCAATACTGACAAGGTTTTAAGTCTTGACCTGGATAGGGGCATGTATTCTAGACAATGTATGTGAATCGGTCCATTTATATTTGTGTACATTTCTAAAAGTCTGTTATACTTTTAAGGTTTTTTAAAAATTAATTTTCTCACACAGCCTTGATTTTTAAGTTTTGTAAACTGCATTGTTAGCCTCTAGTTTTGTGATGTAGACGGTATTGAGAAGGAAAGAACTGTCTCTGATCCTTCCTTCTTTATCCTGTATGCAGGATTTATTTGTTTAACCTTTTCTGCTTTTTGGGCTGTGTTTCCTTTGGTTATATTATAAGTGAGATAGGAATTTAAGTACTGTTACGTGCAGTTTCCTCCTCATAGTTACTGACATAATTAAGACAGTGAAAATTAAGACAACGATATCCAGGACTTGAACTCAGATCCAGAACAAATAAACTCAATAGAGCTCTCCATTTAAACACACAAAATATATATTATCCACTTTAAACACACAAAATATTGATCGGCCATTATTGATACCCATTTTAGGAATGAAGTAATATTTCTTTTTCCCTCTTTTTCTCTTTTTCCCTCTTTTTTTTTTCTCTTTTTCCCTCTTTTTCTTTCTCTTTCTTCTTAAAAAAAATAAATAAATAAAATAAAATCCACAACTTTAT